AGGCAGCTGGGCCACAGGGCTGGGAACCTGGGGCAGGGCTGGCAGTGGTGTAGCAGGACGTTAGGGGGACACAGCATCTTGCCAGGAGCTGTGGGACAGCCCTTTAACCACCTTTTGCTTTGGATACCTGAGTTATGGAGCTAAAGGCTGCGGTGCTGATAGAGAGGGGCACTGCAAATTGCTGAAAACAAGGAGCAGGAGCTTCAATTTTGCACAAATATGACGTGAAAAAGCACACCAGTGCTAACAGTGTTATGCCCGGGGACATTATTCCATTCATACAGCATGATCATCTTTTTAATGAGCAGGCAAAAGTAGTTGGCAGGTAAGTGGCATAGTCATGGAGTAAGTATTACCTCCTGCGAAATTGAATTCTACGCTTCTGTGTCTAATGCAAACAGCCGTGCACACACAGAGTCTAATATTCCCAGGGAAACCAGGGCTGACATTTACCTGCCCCTGGGAAGAGAGGAGGAAATTAATATGGTGGCTCTGGAAGCCAGAGACTTGACACAGCGAGAAGAAAAAAAAAAAGAGGCAGAAAAGAGGTGAATGACTCTGACTGGCCAGTGAGTCAGTGATATTTTTCTTGAGTTTATGCATGTGTTTATTTTCTGGGTGTGATATCTGAATTAAACATTAGATATACCTAAGGAATGGTTACATATGCGTACTGTTGAGTGTTTGCAGCTACTGAGACGCACACGGACACAGACACCACAAGAAACAACATTAAAAGAAGGGCTATTAAGGCTGCAAAGTCAGTTGCTCAGAAAGTATGAAGTGCTGGAATTATGACCATCTGAGCAATCCTATTTCTTGCTTTCTTTCTTTCTTCTTATGTATCATAACCCAGTTTTTAATTACATGGTAGCATATTTATTTATGTTTTTCTATAGGGCACCTCAGTCCGTGCTCAGGACGGGCAGCATGTGCTCTGTAAGAAAGTAATATGTCCCAGTTCAATGCACGCCTTTTTTACTGCATGCTGGCCAGCCCCACCTCTGAAGGAGTGTCCTGTGAAGCTCATCGCCATCACATCTGAGTGCTTCATGCCAGTTTTCACCCCTGAGATGTGACACAGGGGGTAAAATAAAACTATAAAAGCAGAACACCTTCTTCCTATTATGGGCTTGTCCGCTGGAAATGCCAAGGCACTCAGCTCAGTACTTTTTTGTAGGTTTAAGTACAGTTCCCATTGGCTTTGGTCACAGCTGTGGATACTCAGTCCTGCCAAGGCCCTTTGCTCAGAAAGAAAAGAGAATGCAAATAATGGTCATTAGCTTTAAATGCGGGTTGAAGTGATTTGCCTGGAATTTTGTGACTGAAGCCTGTATGGAAATCAGTTTCCCACATAGCCTTCAACTGCTTCAACCATTACACCTTAATTTCACTTCTTGTAATCTTCCGGCGCACTCGCTTTATAGCTTCCAACTTTTGCAACAGCCAAAGCAGGGATCCAGCAGACACTAATCTTTGCGACACGATGCCAGGCTTTTAATTCTTTTTCAGACTGATATCCATTTGGGCCATCAGCATGGGTGGGATGTTTGGTGCTCAGCTCTGCATTAAGTAGCTGTGCTGAACTGATCTCCTGCAGTGAGCACTCAATTAAGTAGAGTGCTGTGTCTGAATGTGCCAGGTCTCCTGTCCAGGGAATACCGTCAGTCTCGGGGTCCTCCCAGCACTGTTGTCTGTTCTAGCCTCATAGCTTGGCCAGAGCCAGTTCTGTCCCACTGCACACAAATCCCTTCTGGATATCTTCATCTCCCCTACCTCACCTGGCTGCCTCTCCAATTCCCGGGCCTTCCTTGCCTGCCTGGCCAGCTCTTTCTTTAGCTCTCAGCCCCAGACTTCCCATTCAGAGTTGTGCTCCCTGTAGGTAGTTCTCAGTTTCAGTTTATTCTTGTATTTCTCTGGGCTTTTTGTGTAAATTTGCTCCCAACCCTGGTAAAGCAGTAGTCCTATTTCCTGAGTATCTCCCACTTGTCCTTTACTTTCGGTAGTTCTTTTGGCAGGACTTGTACTGGAGCAGAGGTGGGCTGATGGTCCCCTGAGGCAGATGACAGCCCCACTCTATCAAGCAGTCTGCTGACTGAGCCATTAATCCCATACCTCCCACTGTCCTCTGGTGGGAGCCTATTTCTGCAGTGCTGCCTGGCTGCTGTGAGTGAGATCTGAGGTCGCTCTGAAACCTGCTTCTCTCATCCTCTTAAATATGTAACTTGGCTGCCAAGTCATGGATATGTACTTGGCAGCCTGCAATAGCAACTGGAAACACAACATACACAATATGATTGTCAAAAAAAAAAAATAATAATGGGGGGGTGACTGCAGAGAACAGAGTCAGCTGAATTTTCAGGATGATTTGAGATTCTTGCTTAGCTATTCATGGACTAATTTTGTTAGCATGGATAAGCCTTTAAAGAGTACCTACAGGAGAAAAGATGCAGTGTCTGGACAGCTGTGGGATAGGAGGCAGCTAGGGACAGGAAGCAGATTGTTTCATGGAAATTCTCTTTCCCCACATTGTATTGTCCCTGTGCTCTTCCATGTGCTCACGAACATCTTAGTGCTGCTTTCAGGAGTATTTTCCATAGTTAGAAACTATCACAAAAAAAAAAAAAAAAAAAAAAAAAAAAAAAAAAAAAAAAAAAAAGAATGAGGCCATCTGTTAGAGCTGAAAGCATAGGAAATGTTATTTCTGTCTTACAGAGCTGGCCTGTCTAAAAGCCTTAGATCAGGTATTTTCATTGCTTCCTAGTGGAGCTGTACCAGGAAAATTTGCATAGACTGTGGCTGGTTTTCACCTTACAGCTGATCTGACCTACTGAGAGCTGTGCTCCTGCCCCCTTAACTTGTTCTGCATCTCCTCTGGCCCCCTCTGACTGCACTGAACCAATGTGAAGCACTAACTCAAAAGAAAACTTATTGTTTATTTTTGCTGGATTACTCTTTTGACAGGTTAGGGAGCCGCCTTGCTGTGGGGCCTGAGCAGATACAGAATAAACACAAAGATAACTGGTGGGAAAAGAATGCCTCTCCCACCAACAACGAGCTTTTAGGCTGGCTTAGCTGTGACACAAAACCTCACCCTTCTCGGGGGCTTGACTTCTACCAGCGGGAAGTACTTTTGTTGATACAACTTGTACCAATTTTGGGTGCCAGCTAAGCAGTACCAGTTGTACACAATGACACTGTTCCACTGCCAATGACTAGTATGAGACCTTTTCTGCTTGCACAGCAGTGCTTCAAAGTATCCCGAAGATCAAAAACCCTCCCTCAAAACCATGACCTTAAGCGTCCTGCCTTACCGCATGGGAATTATTTGCAGGGGGAACTCATAAATCTGGAGCTGCCTGCTTGTACAAGGACTTGAGACATGTCACAGGAGACTTGTGACTTAGCAGATACACTTTTATATCTTGTAAAGGCCCAAGCTAAAGGATGTGTAATGCCCACAGCGGGGGGAATGGGTGCCATCCTGTGCCTTTGACCAGGAGCACCTCTGCGGCTCCCTGCCTTCAAGGGACACAGTAGGCCCAAACGAGTGTCTGCTGAGGTGTCACTGCACAGGAAACACTTCAATTCTCTGTTTTGACTGAAAAGTTACCCAGGGAAGATGCTTGGGGAGAAGGAGCTGAGCATGTGGAGTGTGAGTCCTTGTGCACAGAGCAGGCCGGAGGGGGCTTTGTGTGCTGGGATCTGCAGCTCCCAGGCTGTTACCGGGACACTGCTGTAAACAGAGCCAGCCTGAGCGCCCGGCCACGTCCCAGGCGAGCACCATGACCTCGGTGAGTGTCCCCCACCTCGCCCAGCTCCACGTTGTCCCTGCTGCCCACCTCTGCCTCTGTGGCAGGTCCTGGGGACAGCGGGAAACCCATGGGGTGGCCGGGGAGGGAGCAGGGAGGGCAGGGCAGCCCTTCAGCCATCGTGTCAGTGAGAGCCGAGCTGTGTTTGTACGACATGGGGGTGGTATTTCCTCCTGCTGTGGCAGGCGCTGCTCTGCCGTGCTGCCACATTTTCTGTTTTTCATTCACAGTTCATTACCCCTTGTGTCTAATGTAAAGGTGTTGCATTTGTGTGGGCCTTTTCTTCTGTGAGTTGTAAGCCAGTATTTAGAAGCTGGAGCTGAAGACTAAAACTGACGAGTTTAAATAGCTGCTCTTTGTCAAAGGATTAGGGCCACGGTTTCATAATATTCATCCCTGTGGTCTAACCATTGCTCGGGCTGCTGGCTGCCGACATAAAATTATTTTGGCATTCTACTACCAAGTGAGATTGAGCAAGAAGCTGAGACTCGCGGTGCTGTCTGTCTGAACGACACCAGGCAAAAGTTCACAGAAAGCCTGCTTTCACCTGCTTTGAGTTTGAGTTTTAGGCAGAAGGATTTCAGCAATAAGAAGGATTTTACTTTAAAGGTGACCAGCAAAAAACAGTTAAGAGTTTGCAAGTCTCTTTTGTTAATTAAGAAAGGGCTAATTAATCTCTATTTATTTTTATTTTTTTAGGGGATTTTTGGTTTTGTATAATTTTTTTTGAAAGTATGGATACTGTACAATCCTGTTATTGGTGGTTTTGTTCAGTGTCTCCTGCCGGGTCTATCTGGTGTTGACTTAAAGTTCTTAGGACATTAGTAAAGTGCATAACATTTTTTTTTTCTTTTTTTTTTTTAATTAAATCAAGGATTTCCTTTCTCCTGGTGCTTAGTCACCATAATTACACAAATGTTATCAAAACCAAATAAAAGCGATATGTTGTATAATGCAGGGCTCCATTCAATTTCTCAGTCTTTATTGATTCACTGGCATCCAAAAAACTGATGTTCCTTAGCAAACTTTCAAGTATTTATTAATAACCTGAAAGACATAAAAAAGGATGGATTTTTGTGTGAATGTGTGTGTATGTGTGTGCATGTTTTATCTTATGCTGGCAACCTCTAATCTGAGAGAACTTCTGTTTAACTGAGTCACAAATAACAACTACGTGAAAAGCAGTTTTAAGAAAGGTACATAATGGGCAACATGCACAGCGCTCGTGTTCTAAATATTTTGTTGAGCTGGGCCGAGAACAAGAGCTTTGTGTTTGTGACATGTAACCTGCGTGCTGTTTTCTTGCAGACAATAAAACTAACTTCAGGCGTGTGGTACTGGAAAGATGATACTAATACACTTGAATTTGCAAGGTAAAAGAATTCTGTTTGATTTCAGATTGTGCAGTTTTAAAGCCTTGATTCAGCTGTTCCAAGTAAGGCAAAATCAGTCTAACATAGCTTTGGCTGAAAAGCATCGACAAACTCCATGACAAATATGTATTTGTGTATATATATATAGATACATATATATAGATAGATATAGATATATATATATATCGAGACTGGAGCTCTTAAATGTTACTCTGTGGCATTTATCCCCTCATGTTAATGGAGAAAAACAGAAATATGCATTTGTTCTGTACTGGTCTCAAGATGAATCCACTTCAGAGGGACTGCTAAAAGTGTGTGGCAAGTCCTGCCCTGTGCCAGAAAGCCATGCGGTGCAGCAGCAGTGCTGAAAGCAAGGGCTAAATGCTATCCATGGCATCTACAGGTGGAGGTCCGCTGAGTCCATGGACTGAAGCTCTTTGCATTACATTTGGCCCCACATGGCAGTGAGCACTGTAGGACTGCAAACCTTTTGGGAAACCACAGCTGTGCAGGGCAGAAAGCTCACTTTGAGTTGGTGTGGCAGCTGTGGATTCAGACTTCATCTGGCCTGAAAAATTTCCATACATTTAACCACTGGGGAGAAACAATATCCTCTGCTGCCCTCTTCCCAGATGCAGGGCAGGCAGTGCACAGTGCAGTGCAGCGTGGCGTGGTGCAGCTGGGTCAGTTGCCCGCTCCCTGCTGCTGCCTCCCTGCCCTGCTGGCATTTTCCAAGCCTTCGTCACAGGCAGAGCTGGGCTGCTCACCTCTTCCCTGACCACACGGTTGTTGTGGGAGCCTTTCATGGTCTGAGTCTCAGCAGCATCAGCCAGCTTCCCTCATGGGCTTGGGGATGCTGCTGACTCTACCCGGTGCTCTCTGGGATGGGAATGAGTTTCCCAGCCACGTCTGCTGCCTCTGCCCTTGGTGAACCCAAAGTCCCTATTCATTGGCATTGTCAGGACAAGAGCAGGAGGGTGAAGCCACTTGAGACATGGGTGACTTGAAGGGTTTACATGATGCAGTGCTTACGATGGCAGGAGACAGAGCAGGAGGACCTTTCCTTATTTTTGGCTTCTCTGTTCTTGAAAGCAATGTCTCATGTGGACCTGAGCACAACCCAGATGTTTTCTTAGTGTCAGTTAGAGGATGAAATATATATTCCTCTTTATCATGGCATGTTGACCTTTTTGCACTGCTGCTAAAAATGTAAATTCATGCCACTGCATGCTCACACTCTCTATTTCAGCTCCAGTCCAGCATCTCAGGAAAACCTTAAGGAAGGAAAAAATACTTGCTTTCGGGAAATATGTGTCAAGACATTAAAGAGGTATGTCAAACCGACTGACACAGCTCAAGAAGGAACAAGATTATTTGGGTGGGAATATTTTCATCCATTGTCTGAGGATCATGTCTGAACAAAACACGTGAAACAGGGAGCCACCTGTCATTTCAATAGGGTGGATGAGTGGTCTGAACACAAAAACAGGGCCAGACATGCCTGGTGCTGAATGCTAGCTCAGGCACTAGCCTGCTGTGAGTTTGGTAAAGTCATTCTGCATCTTTGTTGCTGTTTCCAGATCGCTCAGAAAGAGGTAATAATTCTCATCTGCTCTGAAGAGTATTGTGAGGTAATTAATTCATCTTTGTAAGGCACTTCAAAGATTAAAGTATTATTATTATTATTAATTTTATAAATTCACAACACGGTGTAGCTGACTTTCATCCATTACTTAAAACCTCTTTGATCTAAATAATATAGTCGCAATTTATTATATTAGCAACTAAAAGGGCAACTTCAGAAGCAAGCTTGGAGGTGAAATGTCCTATTTCTCCTAACATTCCCAGCCTGTTTTGTGGTTATAATAGCTGAAAGTTAGCTCAGGCTATCTGCCAAGCACATTTCACTGCCTGTCCCTTTGAAATTGTGTGCAATGAGGAAAGTGCATACCAGGTAGATAATGTGACTGTTCTGTGACTGGAATTAACAGTGTCCTTAAATGCTATGTATTGGTCAACTCCTAGCATCTTCCAAGATGAAGGCAGCGCAACGCTCCCTGAAAAAAAGCTGGATGACAAAGAGGAAAAAATCCATAAGCTGTCAAAGTGGGTACAACATGAATATGTGACGTTGGATGATGTCAAATGTGAGTAAATGTTGGTATCTTGTATCAGCAAGGCATTGCCCACAGAAATCAGAAAACTATTGCTACTAATAGCTAGCGATTTTTTGGAGGATATACTATTTTCTCCTCTGTGTTTTCAGATGTTGCTTTACTTTTGAAAGAAGAAGAAAAAAAGTCAGAGCGCATGCTACCTTCTTCAGCAGTTATGGGGTATGTTATGTACAAATTGTTTCGAGAATTATGTGTGTGTGTTGGTTAGTGGAGAGACTATGGTGTATGAGAAGTGGAGTATGAAATATCAGAGGCTTAGAAGAGGGGTTTAGTGTGAGATAACACCACATGTATTTTAACCTTGGCATTCAGAGAAATAATCCCACTGCTTGTTTAGAAGCCCTCCACTCTGTTAGCTAAAGGGAGCCAGGAACTTGGGCCTAAATGTCCAAAGGTTTTACCCTAAGTTAAATTCCACGTTTGCCAGAGCATCCACAACACTGCATGCACCGTGAGTACCTAACACAACTGGGCATCTGGGCTGCCTTCTTGTGCAGCTGCTGTTCTGCTCAGAGCTGCAGAGCTCATTAATTGCTGCCGCTGCTTATCTGTGTTACTCCTCTACATGCTAAAGGAAGGAGGCAGCTGGCAGAGCATCACATCTCAGAGGCGTTTCCCTGAGATCGCCAGGGCCATGCAGTGGCTGCATTGCCTTTGATTTAGAATTGCATCTGTAGACTTTGTTGGGGCTTAGTCATACTGTCCTTGGACAAGAGGAGAGGTGTCCCAGTTGTCCCAGTTTTCCTGTCTTACTCTGAATGCAAATGCTGCTTTTTCAGCATGTTCAGTGCAGAAAATGTGCTTGCAGGAAGTCTGATGATACCCAATTCAACCCACTGTTCAGCATGTTTCTTGGACACTGCTAGTACTTCTCTAACAGCCTCCAAAATCTCGCTGTAGAGTGAAGTGCTTACTATGAATGGGTCTCAACCACACAGCCACACAGATATTCGATATAATGCAGGCCCTTGAGCAGAGACTTTGTTCTTTGTTGTAATGGTCTGGTGGTGTCTAGATCTGCAGACCTACAGACCTCCCAGTGACATTTCTACCTTTCATTTAGGAATAAGCAACTAGATGAGTTCCTCATGGCCCTGCTTTTCTACTTATCTTTTTACCTGGAAAAAATTGCCCTGGAAAAAGAAACCACATCCTTGATTTCGTGAGTACAAAACATTAGAGTTGTAAGTACCCAGAGCTTGCCTGACTTTAAGTGTGTAAATACCCAGACTTTGCCCTGGGTATTTATCTCCTCAAGATAATACTGCAGTCTGAATAAATCATTACTACTACCCAAATGTTAAATCTGTGTGGGTGCCCTGACCCAAATAACCATCCCCTATTGCCATTTCCCAATAACAGCATTAGCATCCCGTCAGTTTCTGCTTGCAATATGGAGCACCTCCGAATCACAGCTGAGTGTGCTGGGCGTTTAGCTGTGCTGTGGGTCACATTGCTCCAAGATTCCATTTCTAAATACTTTGCAAGACAGGTTCAGATGACTCTTCAGTGCTAGAAACATGTTACAGCATGAGAAATATATGCTAGGAAAGCAGTTTCCAAGCAAGGGTGTGTGACCACACTTGCTACCTTGCAAAGTGGAAGTGGGGATGCCAGAGGAACAGTTTAGGAGCTGCTGTGTTAGAGAGTTTTATGCCTTGGGAGAAAGTGTTACTGAGTTACAAACCATGGTTATAAGAAACCTTAATGATTTGCTGGACTCTTTAATAGTCTCTGAGAATTGATTGACCATTTTATTAAAACACCTGATAATTACTTTCTTCACAATTCATGAAGCCTTGATATACACAGGGGTTGAGTTCTCTGGATTGAAGAAAAGACTTCTGGAGAATTGTTGGCCTTAAGGAAATGATTTCTTTCATGTCTGTAGATTGACAGGTTCTCATTGTGCAAGGAATATTTCATAAATAAAGGAAACCATCAACATATTTTTGAACATAAAAGTCCTAGATACAACTGTGGTGATTTGGGCTGAAATTTGCAGAATGATTCCCTTGTTCTTGGCTGGTAAAGGACAAGGAGGACTCTGCACTGGCCATGGCATCTCAGCATGGTTCATATCATCAGCTGGTGTGGCAAATACAAAAACAGACTGAAACAAAGAAGAGGATTTGGACCTATTGCCATACAGATTTATGTTTCCTGGGTCAAGAGGGCTCTGATTAGTAACTACCAGCTATAAACACTGGTTAAACTCTGCCAGAAGAGACATTTTGCTGCATTATGGCATGCAGTGCTCCCAGAGTGACTGCTGCCTTTTGGTGGGAAACATATACCATCTCTGAGCTTCCCAATGAAAAATTCTGTAGCACTGTTTTATTTAGATTCACTGCCTCCCCTGAAGGGAAGTGGCTTGCTTGCCAGGATTAGCTGCATGCAATGTAACATCAGAGAAGCTTAAAAAAGAGATGTTTACCATGCAGAAGGAGGAAGTCAGGATATTGATCTTCCAAAGTATAAATACAAGGAAGGATAATTAAATGACGAAAGGCAATTTGAGATTTTACTTAATGTTAAAAATTTCCCTTAATTGTTCTTGCATCTAAGCTGATATGGAGGAATGAGAAGATATTAATCATGGTGTAAAGAGCTTTCTGACATCGCGTCTTCATTCTCTTTCATTCTCTGTTCAAGTGTCGTCGTCGTCCCCATCCTTCCCCCCTTTCCCCCCCCCCCCATTTCCTCTGTTATCCACCTTGTCTGAATCTGAATTTGGCATATGTTTATTTCAAATCAAAGGTAGCAAGGACTGTGCTTTTTTTTTTTTTTTTTTCCTTCTGTGGACTAAAGTTCTGGAATAGTCTTCTAGAAAGTAATGGGGGCTGGGGAGAAAACTACTTTTTTTTTTTTTTCTGAAGGTGGAGCTCTGTGAGCTCGTGAGAGGGATTTTTTAACCACATAATAAAATCATAATGACAGAAAATGACGCTTGTGATAAGAATCCTTGGGTATGTGATATGTTGATGTATTTGAGAGGATGTGAAAGAAGATTGCATAGCCATTTGTTTTCCTGTACTTATCCCACTTAAATCCCATGCTCAGGGCTGTTGCTAGTTGTTTCTTCAGGAAGAAACCTCCCTCCCCTTCCTCCTAGATGTAATTTAATTTCAGAGGCTTTTTCGCTTTCCTGTGTAGTACTGGCTACGTGCCACAGGTAGAGACAGACTGCAGGCAAGACAAGCTGGTACCATTTCATGTGTCTGGTTAGTGACACCTATAATTTGCTCAGAGTTAAGCTGACAGACAGATTGCTTGGAGACTGGGCTTGGTGACCTGCCTAGTCCTTCAGCAGCCTGATGTTCCTGTATGGTGGACACATCCAATGACCGTGCAGTCCTTGAGCTGCTCTTCCTGCAGACCCTGTGTGCTAATGCAGTAATGCAGAAACAACAGCACAGTTCATTCCTGCTCATACTTGGTGTTTCTGGAATTCCTGCCATTTGGGCTGCCTGTGAGAGATGCCCAACTCATCTGTTGTGAATTCTTTGTCCACTGGGCTTGATGGGCTGAATAACTCAATTGTCTTGAACCTAGGCAGTGTAGAAGTACTCATGTCTCAAGATGTCTCAAGAAAACATCTAAGACTATCTTTGCTTATAAAATCATTGCTTCTGTGCATTAAACTTTCTTATGTCAGAAGGAGTTCCTATAAGAGAAAGTTATCACAAATCTGGACATCTTTGGCTTTTTGCAACCTTATCTTCTCTTGATGCTATTCAGATTCTGCGTACATCCAAGATTTGTGTTTTCCTGGCTTCTTCTAGATTCAGAAAGATCTTGTAGACAACTTCTAAAGCAACAAACCAGTTTTCCAAAGCAGTGGGCATGAAGCATTGCCCCACTGGAGACAGCCTGGGAGTATTCATCTCTGAAATATGTGACTCTAAGAACAAAAATTAAGCAGTAGTGAATGAGACATGAATGGAACATGGGCTATTATTTCTGTCCTGCATTTTCTTCCCCCCTTAGTTTCTATCTGTTTCTGCTTCCAACCCTTTCATGTCTTTTGAGGAAAATTTGCTGAATTTTATTAGCAATTATCCTTGAGAAGCCCAGAGTAATTGTCCTAATTATTAAAGGTGGGTCATGCAGGAAGCTTTAGAGCTGGAGGCCATCAGGGATGGGACAGATAAAAACACCTCTCCCGAGCGTGAAAGGAGGATTGTAACTTTTAGGCCTGTAGCGCTCCCAGGCCCTGGGAGACAGTCGGCTGGATTACAGGGGAAGCAGAGGAAATAGAAAGCTCTTTGGTTTGGCATTTCCTTAGCGTTTGATCTGAAGTGGTTTAAAATACAGGCTTGCGGTGTCAGCCGTTCCTGTTTAGAGGCCACCCCAAAAGCGCTTCGTGTGCCTTTTTGAAGAGAAGTAAGTGCCGTCTCCGAACGAGCCAGACCCACTGCTTCAGGCTGCCCAATGACAGAGTCTGCGCCTGGAGAGATCTAAATGCACCTCCAGGGCTTTCGTGTAGGCTGCAGAAAGGGTTCATAAGCTATGTAGGATCAAAGACGGCAACCTGAGAGGCTGTGGGCACAGAGCTTACAAGTTCTGTAGGGCAAGGGAGACTGTCTGGGCCCAAGCCCCAGGCCTGGTGGCCCCACCAGCACTGCAGAGCTGTGCTTCTGAACTCAGCCCTGCTGTAGAGGGGTCTTCTGATAGCAGAATCATGGGGTGTGTTGGTTTATGTGCCTGAAAACCATCCATTCATTCTCTAAAATCTTTTTTTTTTTTTTTTTTTTTTTTTTTTAAACAGGACTATGATTCTTCTGGAGAATAAAGAAATGGACGAGGTGTTGGCGAAGTTAGCAGTAGCCAGGATTCACCTTGCCAAGGTCTACAGTAACTTTATCCTCGAAAGAGGCCTGGCACAGCAGAGCCACTCACCTAGTGGAAAGTAAGCCAAGGAAAGCTCTTCCTTCTGGGGACCCTTGCTGTGTCAAGGGCCACGACAGCCCAAGCACAAGGCCCCTTTTGGGTGACACAAGTGAAAGCCCGAGGTAACACGTCTCATGAGTCGAACAGTCACAGGGGCAAAGGGACCACGAGGCAGAGACATGTCCCGATCTCCCAGCTGCTCTAGCTGGTAACTGGCTCCAGAAGTGTTTCTGGTGAGCTGTTGCCAACTGGTTTGGCCACAGCAAGTTGCAGCAGAATTCTGAATACCAGCCTGGGAAGCTCTAGCCCTGGTATGCGGAAGGCTTGCTGGATACAAACAGCAGGAAACTTTGATGGGTTCAGTGTGAAATCCAGCAGTGCAAAAAGCCATGCCAGCTGTGGATCTCACCTGTGCCATTTTGACTCATTAAACCTTAAAAGCAAATGGTTATGTGCCTGCTGTTTGCCATTGATCCTTGCATAAATTTCCTCCTATGCCAAGTCTGAAATAGCATAAGATTACTTGCAGGTGGAAGGGACCATGCTTGTGAAGGGACTAGAGACAAGAAAAGGTTGTGCTTAGGGACTGTGGGCTTTGGGAGCGCAGGACTCCTACCTCTGAGCAAGGAACATGGTACATGGCTTTTTCAGAGTGGTGGAAACCAGTACGTCCGTAGATGCCATGGGCCCAGCTAAAGACTAAGAGGAACAAAAAGCTGTAGTGGAAATTTAAAAAGAAACTGAAGGAGGTATGAATGAATGGGAAGGTATTTTAAAAGGCAGAGAAACTAGGGGAATTATGAGGCTTGGAGACAAGTATGCATGTTTCCTTTTTTGGGGCAGTAGCCAGTCACTAGGATTTTCTCAGAGCAGTTTCAGGCACATTTTTTCAAAGTCCATTGGTGTGAAACTCTGCTGCCAGTTCTCCAGAGGAGTCACAGTCCTTCTCCTGTCTTCCTGCAACACAGCTTCTGGCAGCCTCACTCCTCTCTGGGGCTGGAGGAACCTGGGTATCCTCCTAACCAAGAGGAGAAGGTAACTTATGAAACAGTGGAGGCAAAGGGGAGCTGGAGACTGCTATCCCCACAGGGCTTTCATTTTGGTGTGCCCCCATGACACAGGACACTGGACCCTGAAAATTAACTGCACATTCTCACAGCATCCTGGCATGTTGGTATTTCAGGGGGCAGATCTGGGAGCAGCGTTGTGTGCCACATGCCTGCTTCCAGATTTCTGCTAAGGCATCCAGTTAACCTTCTTGCTGGTTGGACAGGGAGGGCTGTGACAGCATTTCATTGTTTCTGTTGGGTGGCCCTAATGTCAGCACTTATGAGACTCAGTTTGAGGAACTTACTGCAAAAAGCAACTTGAATCCAAGGACTGGATGCAGCTGGATAAAGCAGCCTGTGCTGCATACACAGCTAGTTAGCTCTGCTGCCTCTCCACTCACTCACATTGTCTGGTGGATGGGAATGTGCAGGATTGTGGCAAGGAAGAGGTCTAGTGGCAAAAAGAACAGCAGCTCGGGAGTGAGAGTAGAGAGCTGAAACAGGAAAATGTGTTCTTTAATATTTCCATCACAGTGGGGGTTAGAGGCTGGCATTGGGTTGGGACGCTGGTGTCTAGGCTGTAAAAAAACACAAAGGCTAGAAAAGGGCTGTGTCCTAAAGCATTCATGAGGTAAGGTGCTGTATGAAGAGAGACCTGACTGGGTTACTCATAGCAGGGTGGTGGTAGCTGACTACAGCTGACTTCAGAGTTAGGCTAATGCTGAGCATGTTACAATGTATGGCACTTCCCATAGCATTTGGCAATTACATAAATATAATCTCTTCCAGGCTGACTCAGTTTAGCCTTAAATGTTATCTGGAGCCTCCCAGACCATTATATGAACTGCCAAATATGAGAGCTAAGGGACAGAACTGATTAACACTCTTAATTATAAAAGATGATTAGGAATTTTTTAAGCATACATTCTTTTGGGTGGAAAAGGTCCTTTGTCAAAATGGAAACTGGGGCTAGGGCTACCTTTGATGATTATTTATGTATTTATTTTACTTGGAAAATGTTTAGATTAAAAAAATGAGAAATTAACATTAATGTAAAACTCATTCAGTTTTACTATGTTTTCTTATAACCCAACCATGTTTTCATGCTGGTATTGAAGCTTTTGCTTTTTCTTGTAATTCACCATAGCAACATCTTAATTAAATCTTATACTATGTTGAGAAACTGATCTTCCAAGTGACCCTTCCAGATCTTCCAAATGTGTATGTGTTCGTATAAAATTATTGATTTTTCATGTGAAGTCTTTCTCTGAAAGTCTCCCATCTTAAAAAGGGAAGCTTAGATGGAGAACATCTTCATCTTAACAATTTACATGATTTGTAAAATGCAGCATTAAAATCCTATCTTGATACCATCCCAGACTGGAATTTGAGAGAGTACCTCCAGACCTGTTATTTGTGTATGTTAGCATTAGTCCTTTTGTGCCTCCAACGCTGAGGAAGGAATAGGTGTGTCTGGCTTTCTCCTTTTAAGTTGATGGAGGTTGTGCAACCTTTTTGTGGTGCCAGTTTCCTTATGGGTATTTGTCATAATGGGAAAAATACAGAGTGTTCCCAAAGCTGCAAGCATCGATGGCACAAATAGTTGAGTCGGCCCTTTACTGATCCTTGATGCTAGCTTGATCCATGAGCAATTGGAGTCACAGCCGTGGTCAAAGGAGCTGTTAAAATGGCACAAGAAACATTGCCCTGTGTGCCCCTACACAGAACAGTAATTCTTGTAGATGTCTGAAGCCATGAGCTTACATCCAAACCCCATGCCTACAGCACCGTCTGTTCTTGGCGCTGTCCTCTTCCACACATTAATTCATCCTGTCACCCTGACAGCTCTAAGAGGTCACTGTTGTTATATTTCTGGAAATCATGATGCTCTTTGCTCACTCATTCACATATTTCTTACAAGTCCTGTCCTGAATCTTGTTGCAAGTTTGATGTTTTCCTAACCCTTTCTGCATTTTCCTAGGTAATGAGCAACTGTGCTGTAGACATGGGAGGTGCCTCTTGCTTCAGCATTTATTTTAGGAAACTTTACTTCAAGCAGGTCTCTTAGCTTAATACCTTACTTGAAGGAAGTAAAGCACTGGGGAAAAGAAGGGTGGAGACCCCTAGCATTATTTAACTCTAATTATTGCTGTTAATTTCTGTTGCTGGCCTCCACATTGGTTTCTCTGCTAAACCGGGGAGTGGTTCCAAGATAATGCATGAGCTATCTAATGTTAAAGGTGAAGCAGGGTTTTACATTGAGGTTTTAAAAGCTGGGGTCACATTAGGTTCCTCTGCTCTGATATTCTGAAACACAGAACATTGTGATTTTCCAGAATTCATAAGGAATTAAAAGCGTTGAAGTTATCTGGGAGATCTGCTTGGGCAGATGGCTGTGCCACGCTTGAAGAGTCAAACTTCTTTTCTCTTGTACAATATGTGGCTTTGGGATCTCAGCTGGTGTCATGAAGGGTATGATTAGTGAGAGCTCGGCAGGGAGATACACAGTCCTCCTGATCAAAATATCAATAAATTAAGATCAGAAGATAGTAAATAGAGCTACGGGGCTTGCAGTGACGTTTCTGGGGTGATGGCAGCTGGGTGTACCCTAAGTGTGTGGAACAGTTGATGCTATCAGGAAGGTTAGGGACATTTCAGGAGTTGGTGAGTTGACAGAGATGGAGTTTATCGTGCATCTGGCAGGACTGTGGAGATCCAAAGGCTGGTAGAGAAAACTTGCTTTCCCTTCCACAAGGGTGAGCCGTGCCAGCTCCCAGAGAACCGAGTGGCTGCTGGGATGTGTGCATCACCCTCCACTCTACTGGTTGCTTCCCTGAAGGACAGTCATCTGGCTTTGCATGAGAATCCCCAGGCTCAAGTGGGTGGTGAGAGCATCTCTCTGGCGTCCACTGCGCAAATTGCTGCTTCTTTAACAAAGGCCCTTTGTCGTTTTCGTACATGTTTTACATTTCTGCTTGGAGATGCATTTGGCATCTCCTTCCTGACTTTCAAGTATATTGTCTCAGCATTGGCCTGGCTTTGTGCCCTTGGTAACTGCGCTCATTGCTCTTGCAGTGATGTCAGGAAGAGTTTTCTATTCATTTCAGTGGGAACTGGGTTAGATCAGAGCTGACCACTTTTAAGAGGCCCAAGCAGAGAGATCAGTTTTGATAGCATAGTAGGGGTGCCTCCCCTGCTCATCACATCCAGCTTTGTTCTATTGGATTTAATTAACTGAGCCATACAATATTTTGCCTTTTCTCCTTCTGAGGCAGCGCAGAATTCTTGTCTTTCTCTTAGACAGTAGGTCTCTGCATGCTAGTAATGAGGATTTACCAGCAACAACTTTATTGCCCTGGTGAAATGCCAGCTTGGCAGCAGCCCCGTGAGTCATATTCAAAGCTCTGTACAAAGAACTGAAAGGATGACTGCTGCTATTAATTTTGTGCTCTTGTTCACTGCTTTAGGAGAACAACATCATTACAGAAAGATTGGAACTTCTTTGAGGTAAGAAAGACACAAAGATAAACGGAGATTTTGACTGTCAGCACAGACCATGTGCCCCTCTCACACATTCAGGTACTTCAGACAGCCTGCTCCTTTCCTTTTGGTTCTCCCAGTGGTTTACTTGCAGGATAGAGTAGTGCCTACAGTAAACTTTTACTTCTTGAGCCTAGATTATAATGTCTCTGTAAAATACCAACTTTTTGCCCTTCAGCCCAAGCCTCTTTTCCCCTTGGAGCCCTGAGCTGGGGAATTTCAGTCCCTCTGTGGCTCAGAGCCCAGCCAGTTCCCATCACAGCCTGGGGTCCCTCTGGGAGGTCTGGTCTATAGCTTTCTTCTCATCATTGGCCTCACAATTTCATCTCTATAGGTAAGAAATTTCACAGTTTTCTTTCAGTTCCATTGTGCTTGGCAACATTTTTAGATGCCAATAAGCTTTTCTGGCCTGCTACATACAGCTCAATGAGCAATTTATGAGCCTCACTATGTAGCAGGGCTTTGGCAAATTAATACAAAACAGCTAGGCCCAAATTATACTCTGTAGTTCACAAACTGGGGAGCCTTTCCTTGAAAGAGAGGAACTGGATTCAATTCCAAGGATACACAGTAGTCCCAGTGAGACCACCTTTTCAGGAACCTTAGTAGAGACTCAATCTACTGGGGGTTGATTCAACTTGGGCCAGGGATCACAAATGTTAAAATGGACTGAAAAGCTGGATCTTCTTTTTAACCAGCAAGCAAAGGTGTGGAAGTAAGAGGCACTGAGTTCATATTTGGTAGCAATATCTTCTGTGATCACAATGCTGTCATTTTGGGTGGGAATCATCTTGTCTAACTCCAGCTGCCCAAACAATAGCTGTCCTGTCAGCCTAAGCCCTTAGGCTTCGTTGACAGTCGATGCAGACAAAGGGGGTGAATTGTTGCCTTTTGAGACAGATGTGTGCGATAAGAACCCCCACAGAATGACTCATCCCACTAGTCTCTTTCCATTAATTATTGAAGGAAACTGGATGGTAATCCCAGGTTCACTCCTTAGTTACTAGCATCAAAACTAAGCCACATTGGTCAGCTGAGCAAGACAAAATCTGTCTGAGCTAACTATGTTTATAGCCTCATTTGTCTGCAAACCTTTAAAAAAAATCTGCTTTCAAATCTTCTGTGATATTTGGTGAAGTTAGATGCCAGACTGGTTGCTGACTTTTTAATGGAGTTACGCCAACCTGCACTGTGGGACGCAGTGAGATTCTGAACCTTCTCCCAGTGAAAATGAGATCTGTGTTTTCAATTTAGGGCTTCTACAACTTCTGCAGCTATGTGGCTTGGCTTGTGTTCAGACGGAAGCACTTCCAAGTGATTCGGGAAGAAATCGGCAGGCTTCTTTGCTCCGACATGTTCAATCCCACCCTAAAAGACAGGAGAAATGTTTTCTTGCAGGAAGCAGGCAAGAGGGCTGCTGATGCAGATGCGGTGAGATTGCCATGGCAGAGGTACAGTTTGACATACCGATGAGCCCTTCGATAATGTGCCCTGTCCGAATAGACTGAGATAACAGCTGCATTTGTTTTCTTTCAAGACAAGCCCAAGCTAAGCATCCACCCATAAACAGCATGGTCCACCAGCGCTCGCCCATGCTCAGCACGCTGCTGCCCTTGCCAAAGGAGAGAGCTCATTACCTCGCCCAGAACCACTACTGTCAGGGCATGGACCCGCGCCCCTGCTCGTGTGACAACCTGCCGGACTTCTCAGAGCTGTTCGCTACCAAGTGAGGGGCTATTTCTCTGCATAAATAGATCTGGTAGTGCTGGTAGGAAGGATGTCTGGCAGCTAGCTCTTCCTCACCAGGAGAGGGGCTGTTGGATATGGGCCTTGCATAGGCAGTAGTTAGAGAGGAAGAGGAGTGTAAGGCAGGCGTGAGTGAGCCTGAAACTTGCAGATGAAGAACTCTTGGCTAACTGCAAGCAACACAGCTACTGCCCATCATACTGTTCTGTTAAAACTGGAAAGTTTTTTTGGGAAAGCAAATATGCATTGAGATAAATTTGAACAAAAAACAAATTTAAACTTGTCAAAATCAAAATGGGATGTTTATTTTTTTCCTCTCATGATTCATTACAGTTTCTTATTTCTTCAGCATTCTGATCTGACATGACCAATGTATTCTATTCTGACAATTTTTATTTTTTTTTGTTACTATATTGCACTTAAAAAAAAATAATTTAAATTGTAATACAGATAGAACCTTTTCTTCCAATTCAAAACAAACACAACATTTTTCAAGCCTGGATATGCCATGAAAGAGATATTCAATTTTGCATCTGCCTATGGTTAACAGCAGTATCACTACAATTGTTTTTATGTAATAAGTGATGCAAACATAGAATCATAGAATCATAGAATATCCCGAGTTGGAAGGGACCCATAAGGATCATTGAGTCCAATTCAGTGTTGCTCTGCTGAAGTGTATATAAGGCTCCCTGTAAGACTTTTCTACGTAAGTCATCTTCTTCTGCCTGGAAATTATAATTTGAGAATTGCCTTAGTTTTTCTGGATCTACCAGAATTCTGGCAATCTAATGAACACTACAGCACTCTACATGCAAAATTGTCAGACTTATCCAGAACACACGACCAGCAAGTCCAGTATTTCCTCAGAGAGTGAAATTTGCTACAAATGCACATATAATTGTTTTGTGCATGCTTTGGAAGCTGGGTGCCCCCTAAGCATCTCAGGTGTTATAACTTAATCACAGCAATTCATGTGCAATACAGCCAACCTTTCCAGGAAGGGCCAAGTTTCACTTGGACATACGCAATTCATGTTGTGTGCATGCACGTTCGAGACAGAAACATGACATGGTATGCAAGGTGCTGAGTGTCTAAGTGTGGTTATTTGTTCTTCCCTGGAGGAAGCAGACAATCACAGCATAGTGTGTGTTATTCACAGTCCAGTTAAAGGAGGCAACGTTCCTTGCTGGTTTACCTTGGAAATACTACAAGCTGTTCCCCCTTTCTCCTATTTTCCTCTGCTTCATTGTGTCAAGCCTATTAACACCGTGTTTTCTAACAGGGTGGGCATCATTGGAGCTCACTGTAGTGAGTTAAATTCCTGTATGCTCGAGTCTGACGAGGCGATGGAGGAGGACGAACAAGAACAAGAAGAAGGACAAGAAAAAGAAAAAGAAGAAGGACAAGAACAAGAACAAGAAAAAGAACAAGAACAAGAAGAAGGACAAGAACAAAGAACAAGGAAGACAAAGGAGTTGTTCCTCTGTCCTGACAAATGGCCTGAATCTGCCACCTCTATAAAGCTCCCAAAACAGGTTTAGTAGTGAGAGTGCTGTATTGTCAAAAGCAATGGCAGAAGATGATTGTAATCAGAGCATCTAGCAGAAGTGGTATCTTATTTCATTCAGTGGCATAATTTCATATTGCTAAGTAAATAATTTTGAAATTGCAGATTAAAAAGCCAAAATCATTTGTCAGAAGGGGGGTAGTTTTACACACAAGGATCTGTACTGGGTGACTGAAGAACTGGACTGTAATTCCTGGTTCTGTCACTAACTATTCCTCTTTCATCTTAGTGCTTTCTTTGCACTATTTCTGAGAAGACTGTTTTACTGACTTATTTTGGGAAGTGCTTTGACACCCGCAGATGAATATGATTATGGATTTTAACGTCAACCCTCTTTTTCTACAGGGTTAGTAAAGCAATGAGGGGACAGGACTTACTATAGTTTAAAAGTTCCTGGAACTGTACTTTTAAAGGAAGTTACTCTTTAATATATTGTCTTTAATATATTGTTTAATCCTTTTTTGATTTCCATCATCTCTCATTTTGTTCTTAGCCTAATTTATGATTCATTGTGAAAAGAGTATAGCAAAGAGGAAAGCTGTTTTTTAAAATATCTATGAACTTTCATTTTATCTTTTAAATAATATATATATATTATTTTTATCATGGACTTTACATGATTGGAAAAGCAAATCTTAGAAGTTCAAAATCAAAGTATGCAGCTGGGTTGTCAATATCTTGAAACATAATGCATTCATGATAAGAAATCATGTATCACTTTACCTACAAGACTAAATATCTGTACTAATCCTTATTATCAGGAGGAAAATTTAGGATGAAATCCTGGCCTTTGCATAGTCAATAAGAATCAATGAAAAAATAATGGATGATTAAAAAGTGAAAGAAAAGCTGAGAGGTAATATTTTCAGCATTTTTAGAAGTTTGCTGCATCAGTGATGGTTTGGAAGTTTTTCAGTGAAATATATTTCTGCTAGATAAAAATAACAACACAATTTTCCCTTGCAGTGTGTGGTTCAGTCTTTAAAAGGATGAAGGTTTGCACTGAAATTATATTGAGGAACTTCTGCAGTTACCAATAGTCCAGGGACTAGGTCACTTACATGAGATGTTCTTGCACCACCTTATTGAGACAGACATTTGAACTGCAGACTCACAGCTATTATTTAGTCTCTTCACTTAGGCTGGCACATGTTATTTTAACACCTAAGTGGCATTGTGGACTAGGATGGTTTTCCACGTGTCAGGTGAGTCCTTTTATCATGGGATGAGCCGTGGTCTGCAGTTTATCTCTCAAGCTTTTCAGTAGACATCTGTTCTTGTACAAAGCAAAAATAATAATAAAAAAAAAACTCTTAGAATTTTGTGGGGCAGAAAACACATTATCTCCTGAGGGAAAAATACATTAAAATATTAATTTAAAACTATGTGTGATACTGCTATGTCTTCTTCACATACATGATGTGGAGTGCTGCACTCTCTGTTTCAAACTAACATTTCTAGGTTATATGCTTGCATTCATTTTGGGCAGGCAGATTAGTGCTCATATGGTCTGAAAAATGGTGGGAAGACTGAGATGGTGCTTTAGTTGCAGGTTTCCTGAGAGCTCAGTTGGTCCAAAGCATGTGCAGCTGTTTTTCCAGGCTGCAGGAGTGACTCCTGGCTGGACATGCAAGAGACATTTGTGGTATCACTGCCCTGCAGCAACAGTTTCTCTACTGAATGATGTAGCAATATGTTGGCCAATACCTGGAGCTAAGGGACACTACATCACAGCTTCCTTCTCATGGTCTTGGGAGAAAACCTTTGGTTTCTGCATTAGGGGACCTCTACAAGGCTGGGCAATGTTTTGTCTCTCTAAGTGTGACACTGTCCCCTCTCTGATCTGTGGATTGACATCCCAGGACGCTAATCCTTTCAAAAGCATCTTGCTTTGCCATGTCCACGCAGACAGGTATAGTACAGGGCCTTAGAAAAGAGTATGAGGGAAAGGTATTCTTTGCCACCTTGGTCCTGCAGGGCAGTGCAGTCTGTGGTGCTTGCTAATAACTGGGATCTGTGAACAAGCCCCTGCAGTGCCTGGGGCAGAGATCTCATGGAGTTACACACTTGGCTTGTGGTGGGCCTGGGGCAGCCACAGGAAGACAGGAGAAGACCTGAAGGGTGGAGCAGACACTCACGTAGGCAGCAGAGCTCCTGGATGCGAATGAGCTTTTTGTGCAGTGTCACCTACCTGCAAGGTCTGTGTCACTGCAGGGAGGAGGAAGCACTGGGCAGCTACCAGTGGTGATCGAAAGCAGCTGATGAGCTACTCAGACTGAGAGATGATGCTCAACATGATATGCTTGTCCCTTTCCAGGTTCCAGGTAGGCTCCTCAGAGTCTCCTTAAGGGGAATGGCCCCACTAGGGTACTTCCTGTCCATGAAATGGAGAGCAACAAGTGACTGGCTGCTCTTGCAAGCTCTTTTCCATGGACAAACGGCAGCTCAGTTACTTCTGTCTGCACCTGTAACATGCCATCAGGCTCACTCAGGGTAAAATCTGATGGCCCTGGTCTAGTTTGAAGACACTGGTAGTAAGGCAAGCCCTCAGCCATGGCTTTGGGCCTATGCTTCCTGTGGTAATCTAACAACATCCTTGAACTTTCCAGAAAGGATTGAGAAATACCTTGAAGTTCTGATCCTTTAGTCAGCAGAGCCCTTTCCAGGGCTGCCTTCACGGTGTTGAGTGTCTGCTGCTTCTGAAGCGATGTACGGCCAACACGGACAAGCCATGCTTGTTTCAGCATGTAAGCAAGACCTGGCAGCCTTTCACACATGACAGTGAGTCATCCTTCCAGCAGGAGAGACTGAGTCAGAAAGGGCACTTGACAAGCTTATTTATCAGTCTCCTGTTATTTGGCCCTGGAGAATTTTACTCTGGGAAACCCACCCTTGTTAATGAGAGGCAGAGCTCAGAAGTGTATCATACCGGCTTTTATTTCCATAGGCTTTGCATGCAGTTTCATATTAGGAAATCACAGCACATTGGCCATTTCCATGATTTTTTTTCCTTTTAAAGTGATTCTGAACATGCCAGCGATATCGGAATAACTTGCCCAAGCTAGGGTTACTGTGAAGAGTACAAACTCGAATGCCTTGGAGTGACGAAAAGAGCCTGGGGGCTCTGTGCAACAGCACTTATTGAGTCCCCATTTACTTTCTTAGGCCTGATTTGATCAGAGCCTTAATTGAGTGCTGCTAGCATGGCCTAGTGTCTTGACTGGCTTTTGATTATGGCTCTGCCACTCATAGGCTCCATAGAGGGTGTGTCAGGCTTTCCAGTGTAAGTGTCTATTTTCAGAAGTTATATTGCTCTGTTGTAGAAATTCATGCCAAGCAGCAAGTTGGCAGGAAATGTTGCAACTTAGAGATGGAAAAATAGACAGAGAAAAAAAAATCTGCCTGATGGTTAATTAAGGAAACTCTGCCTTTGTTGGTTTCAGGCTTTGGGCCTGAGACAGTGATGGCAGTGCAGCAAGGGGAGCCATCAGGACGTAGGGTGACCATTACGTGCAGTTGGGTGTCCTGAGGTATGGAAAGAAGCAAAGTAGCTCAGGTCCATTCTATTTGCGTTGCAGAGGGGTTTGGAGCAGTAGCCTATGAAGGCAGCACTCACACAGCAGCAGGGCTATGGGGCTCAGCAAGCTCTCTGTGAGCACGGCAGGGCCTGGAGCTCTTGTAGTTTCCTTGTCTGTGGACCCTCTGGTTCAGTCCTGTTTGTCTTGTCATGTTAAGGACAGCACTTACTGTCCTTATAGTAAGGGAACAGGGAACAGGCAGTTTGAGCCTTCCCATTTTCCTGTGCAAAAAAGACGTGCCAAAAGCAGCACTTTGTCAGCATATGACAGGTTCTGTCCATTTTTGCTTGGATTCACACAAACATTTTAGCAGTGTTATGCCCCAATGAAATCAGAATACTAGCACTCATACGCCTTTGGAAATGTGGCTTTTTGTTGCTGGGTGCTGCAGCGGTGAAAGATGCCAACATGCTTCCTGATCCTCTGCCTTGGGCAGGTGGGGAATATTTGTCAGCCTTCTTTTCCCTCTCAGCTAGACAAAACAGTCCATGAATCCTTGACAGAACCCTAAAGAGGCTTCTCATTGCTTCTGTTTGCTTATCTTCCCTGCCCTCTCAAGGCCAAACTGCACCTACCAACCAGGCAAGGAGAACCAATGGCAGCTCCTTGGTATGGACAGCTGACACCATCACCTCAGGTGCTCCTCGCCAGCATGATGCTTGTGATGCCTTCTTACCTCCAGGTGTGCTGGGGGAAAGAGAGCAGCAGTCAGACTGGAAACTGAACCAGGCAGTGATTTGCAGTAGGAAGAGAAGTTGTCAGTCTGGATTTTCTTTAGAAAGGCTTCCTAATGGTGGTGGTGGTATGTGTTCCTGCAATGGATAGGTCTAAAGCCTGCATCCTGTAGACAAACTGCACTGGAAGCACCATGTACCAGCTACAGTTCTTGTGGCTCAAACTACAGTATAAATGTTTGCAGTGAGATTTTTTACAGCTTGCAGCAAAAATAAAACAAACTGCAATTCACAGAATGTGAAGATATTCTTACTCTAGCTCTTCTTCCATGTGAGAAAGGTTGAAAGAACAGGCTGTAAATATACTGTCATCTGTTGCAGCCTTTCTGTTTGGAAGAGATGTGATAATATGAATGCAGTCTATTCCCAGTGTGTTCTGTGTTATTTACAGAAGGATAAACACAGAGTCTTTTTTCCCTCTATTTGAATGCAGTAGAAACAAGCACAAACGAATAGTTTCTGTACACACATTCCCAAGACTGCTGGCCTTGACAAGGTCTGACCTCAAGAGAGTCCCTCTCTACATTGCTCCTTACTTTTCCCTCTCCAGTACCAAACCAACCTAAGCACATCAGACATGACCACGTCCGGGCAAACACAGCAGTTCCTGAGTTTTCCAAGTCCTGCTGTGGAAGCTAGATCTCTGGGAGAGGGCTTCCACTGATCAACTGTCCTTACTACATTATAAGAGGATGGTTATTCCTTCTGCTGAACCTGGAAGGGTGTGCATGATGTGTTCCTGACAGTAATGGGATGTGTGGGGATTGTGGATTAAAGACTTGCCCAAAGGCTGCTATTAACATTTTTCAGTGTAATAATCAAGAGACGGAGGAGGAACATCTAATTTAGGTGTTCACAGCAGGTCACCTTAAGACAGTGCCCAGATCTCTGTATTGATTGGATTGGGAGACAGAGTAGGGCAGGCCTGGATAGGCAGGGAATTGACCCACCCATTGCTCCTTTGTGCTCAGAAGCTATAAGAGCTCTCACACCTGAAGGGCTGTGATATGTGCTCTTTAGGAAGGAGGCAGGTGAGATGTGTGGGACTGTTGTGCTCTGCACAGACAGGAGCAGCTCAGATGCATGAAGTTCTGTTATGGACTGGTGTGATGGGCTGGTCAGAAGTTTATGGGACAGGATCAGAGCAAAGGCCAACGCAGGTAACTTTGTGGTAGGCATCTACTGCAGATCACAGAGTCAAGAAGACAAAACAGATGAAAGCTCTTTAGACATGTGGAAGAATGTCACAGTTTCAAGCCTTGTTTTTTATGGGAGATATCAACCAATGTGACATCTGCTGGGCAGGAAGCAGTAGCGCACAGGTAATTCAGGTTTCTGGAGTAGGTCAGGGACAATTTCCTGATATAAGTGCTGGACAGGCTGAGTAGAAAGGTGTTCTGATGGATTCACTACTCAAAAGCAAGGAAGAAATGGTAGGAGTTGTGATGGTCAGTGGTAGCCATGGAGAGACCAAGAGGTGGCAGAATTTAAGATCGTGTGAAAGGGGAGAGAGGTGAGTAGCAGAACAATGACCCTGAGATTCAGGAGACCAGACTGGCTTGTTCAGAGAACTGATAAGCAACATCCCTTGGCATATTGCTGTGAAGAGTAAAAGGATATGGAGTGTTAGTCTGTCTTCAA